GTAAAATGCATGTGAGTGCTTATTTGCTTGTTGCCTGGAGAAGCAACTTGGGCACATAATGTTGTATAGCATAGATACTACTTGGCTTGTGTATTTCCTAGACCATGGGGTTAAGTTCTGAGGCAAAACCCTCAAAATTTAACAATTTTTTTCTACTGTTGCCCTGGTATACCCTTTTGGCCAGATGATCACAATCAAATATGTGATGTAAACGTGAAAAATTACATTAACAAGTGAGAACCTTATGGCAAAAGGGAATGTGCTACTTTCCAGACCTCTGCTTTCATCAGGGATAAGGATGGGGGGCAGAACTTGTATCTTCATGAGCCACAAAGAACATTGTGGGATAGGGTAGGGACTTTTTGCTCAGCTTGTGGAGCTCACTTTCCCTCACCCCAAGCTGCTAGATTTATTTTATGGGTTTTTTTTAAATTACTTTTAATTATTTTATGGGGGTTTTTTAAATTACTTTTAATTATTTTAAGGCATCTCCACTTCCTAGGCTGTTAAATGCTTTCCCTCACATCCTTACTATTAGTTGGACCCCAGTTCCCAGACCTCCTGCTCCATATCCAGGTGGAAGAGTGCAAAAATCACTGCAAATTGATTAATTTTGTTAAAGAGAGGGAAATGGAAAAGACGAGAGATGACCATGTATCCCAAACTGGGATATTTCAGCAATGTCAAAATCTGGATTTTTATTTTTTTGGGGGGTGGGGATCTCTACAGGCATAAACTACTGCTAACATATTACGTGTTGCTTGCAAGGTTCTCACAGGAGGACAAGTGGGGCCTGTTGGAGTGAGGCAAACATCTGATGTCCTCTTTTACAAGGCATGAAATCTGCAGTAAGTTATTTCTACAAATTCACTGTCATGCTAAATCACCGAGCAACAGTGCAAGCAGAATGGATAAATCCTTCTGTTAGCATGGCATGTTGCTGCAATTAACATTTTCACTGCACAATTATGTTATAAGATAGGATCTATAAAGGTGAAGAGCATAACTTGTTCATTAGAGTGGGCAGCAGGGAGCAACAGCAGAAATGTGTTGCAAGAGCAGGATAGCTTTTTTGAGGTGAGCATATGCATATACTGTATTCTATTGTCTATAATCCTTTCTCATCCAGCACATATGCTATTAGTCTACTCCTCTTCCTGGAGCTCATCCAAGTACTAGCAGCATCATTTCCTGCTTAGAATGGAAAACTCAAGGGGAATAAAAAGCATCTTCTGCAAATAATCCTATAATATTCCTGCAGGAATTATGTATTCGTGGAAATCTTTTATATGAAAATAAAATATTGAATGATAAAAATTAATTTATGCAATTCTTGGGGAAAATTTTTAATTCTGACCGATAAAAATACAAAAGCAGGTTTATGAATGGAATTGTCTCTTTTCTACTCATGATCATCTCTATTTTAAATAATTGTTCTTCTAACACTGAAAAAAAAATCTATTTTCTCTTCTATTTTTCTCTAAAAATCTCTTCAGTTGTATGCTTAAAAAGTAGTGTTTTCTCAGCTTTCCTTGAAAAATCTGTAGGAGAATACTGTTCCATATTACAAATATAAACTGAGACCTAAAATCCCATGTACAATTAGAACTTTAAATACAAGTAGAAACTGGCAGGTTACTATAAATGTGAAGATTACAGTAGTGGGTGCCTCAGATCTTTTTTAAGAAGAAGGGAATGTTCCAAGTGCTGCCAGTATGTGGTAGAATACATACCCTAAGTTCATATCTTGAGAGTGCATGAGTAGTCCAATATGAATGAGAGAGTATTTGGTCCAATATTTGATGTAAATCAGTGTTCTTCCTCTGCTGTAGAGAGATTTATGCTGATTTGTACAATGATAGGAGGCAGATTATAAGTGCCAACATACTTCTTCTCCCTCCACAGTTGTGCAAACATTATTGGTGAATACAGAGAAGAGCCCCTGCCTGGAATGTTGTTTTCTGTGATCCACCAAAGTTTTCACAGGTCTCTGTTTTGAAATCTTTGTCTGCTTGATGGGTTATGAAATTTAAAACCTTCCATTTGTTTTAATGTCATTGAGCAGCAAGTGACTTTGCAAAACACTTGAAGTAGGTTTTGGCATTGTACTGGAATGGCAGCTTCCCAGAGCCAATGGAAAAGTTGCAGGTGGTTAATAAATAGTTTTTACATAACACTAAGAACATGCAAGACATTTCTTAAATAAACAAGAAGAAAATACAGTTATGACTTTGCAGATCTCTAAGTTTAGGAGAACCTATGGCTGGGCCATAGGAATCTTGGCTATTTCTTCTGCAATAAATGCACTCCAATCCTATTTCTTTTCTGCTGCAGATTCTCACTCTTCACTTTTACAAAATTTGGGAAACTGTTCTTCATAATACTATCTCTACTTCTAATATGTCATTAAAATCTGTGTCAGGGCATATCCTCACCTAATCTAAAACCACTGCCAATAAGATGACTAAAACTTAACCTCATCACTGTATAAGAGCACAGGATCTGATCTGCAGCATTTATGTTTGGATTCCACTGAATGCCTTGGTATTGCATTTTACTTTGAAAACCAAATATTCTGTGAACACAGTTGTGCAATTCATCTGTGTACCTTCGAGTTGAAACACCCAACTTTGGTCCATGCCTATGTTGTGACAGAATTGTTGAAATGGAAAAGGAAGAAACTGAGGTGAACAAAGTCAATCTCCACCTGAACAGATAAACTCTAATCACCAGAAAGAGACAGACACAGGTTTGTACATCCACATGCATGGTTACTGATGAAGTTGTCCATCTTGCAATAGTTATCTCTTAGATCTTGCAGAATTCTTCTTTCCCCTTTTTACCTTGTTTTTCCCCAGTCTGATGGATTAAATTCAGTAAGAACTTTTACCCTTTTAGCTAAAAGTTGGGTGGTAGTCTTGCATACGTGCCAAGAAACGTAAACCTGGAAAGTTTCTGAAATCAGCAGTAGAAATACTGCAATTAAATTTTAATAGGTGCTCTTGCTTTGTTCAATGACTTGTCTTTAGTATTCTGTTATAGGTATTGAAAACTTCACAATCAGAGTATTATTTCACAGGTGACAGGAGCTCCCACACATTCCTTTGGGAATTTTTAGACTCTTACAGCTCTTATGAATGAAAAAAAAAAAAAGCAGGTGCAGACAAATTGATGGAATTTGTACCTAATTCATTGGATATCCAAGCATGCTTGTGTACATCAGCTCATAGCTATAAGTAAAGGTACTCTGCTACTTAGATAAAGGTCACTGGTGAATAGGTCATATGCCTGAAAGTGAGATTGTGTTGATTCCCTTTTCCCCTTGCTTATCAAAGAGGATGGTACAATGAGTGGTTGGACACCAGCACACTAAAGGTTTTTCTGTGTCTAATTAGTTTATTTATGTTTTTCTGAGGGCTTACCAGCTGTTGGTGTAGGAGTAGCACTGCATGTTAATAGTATTTCTCTTTTAACCTCACTTTCAGTGAGTTTAATCCAAGTGTTTACTTACCTGTACTCACAGAAGTATTTTTGGAGATTATATTGGGCAGTGGGTACAGAAGAGAAGAGCCTTCAGGTACCTACACACCCAACATTAAACTGTCCCAAATCTGAATTCACGTGGTGCTGAAGCAGACTGTAGCCCTCTCACAAGTTTGTTCAGGATCACCTGTTACTACTCTAATGTGCTTTTTAGAAAAGTAACTGCCAGCCTTCCATGCTTTGTAGGTCCACTGAATCAAGAAATATAGTAAAAATCTGTCAGAAAAACCTCCCCAGATGTGTTTGCCTCTGGTAAGTCAATTTGCCCGTGATTTGATCCTGTGTTTATTTGGTAGGCTGGAATTTACACATCTGACAAAATATCACAGGACAAAACTCAGCACAGTCAGAGAAGAATATTTTGAATAAGCATCAGGAGGTGAGAAACAGGAAGGGGGAGCGAGTGAAGAAGGAAGGCATCTCCCTACTCTGTGTACGGTGAGCTTCATCCACAGTGGGAGAGCTCTTAGAGAGATTTTCTTTGTGTTCCAGTTCCTTGTCCGTGGCCTTTTATTTTACAGCAATAATTTCGCTCTCCTTCATGCAGCAGGAATGATGAGTCGAACAAGGCAAAGTGGAAGAGCTGTGAGGAATACTGCAATAAGAGTTGAGGGAAGCGGGTTTCCTCAAAGGGGTGATTCAAAATGTTAGTTTTCCCACTGGATTTACTTTGTAGTTATGTTTTAATTCTCCCAGTTCTTCCAGGCATTTTCTGTTGTTACTATGAAGTTTGTTTCACCTTTAAAGTGTGTGTGTGTGTGGGGGGGATTCGGGACAGCTCAGGTAGCTGACATATAAACATTCCCAAGGAAAGCTTTTAGAGCTCATAGTATCATTCAGTACACATTTTGAAAATGTTAATCTTTTCAACTAAATAGTTGGCATATGAGTAGTATGCACTTTGTACCTTAGGAAAAAGTGTTACTAGTGTCAAAGGGAGTGGAATTTACTCCAAAGCTGTGCTACTTTATTGGTGATACCTTGATAGGTAAAGGCTGCAGTGGATTCACATGGCCCAGCTGTCAGATGCCCACCAAGCCACCCTGTCACTCCCCTCCTCAGCAGAACAGGGAGCAGAAAATACAAAAAAAGGCTTGCAGGTCAAGATGAAGACAGAGAGATCACCCAGCAGTTACCATCACAGGCAAAACAGACTCGACTGGAGGAAATGAATGTGATTTATTACCAGTAAAATCGGAGTAGTATAATAAGAAATAAGATCAAATCTTACAAAACCTTCCCCTTCACCTCTCCCTTCTTCCCAGGCTTAATTTCACTCCAGACTTCTCTACCTCCTCCCCAGAAAGCGGGGCAGAGTTGCGGTCAGTTCATCCCGTGTTGTCTCTGTTGCTTCTTCCTCCTCACACACTTCCCCTGCTCCAGAGTGAGGTCCCTCTCACAGGAGGCAGTTCTCCATGAACTGCTGCAGTGTGAGTAGTTCTCCATGAACCGCTGCAGTGTGAGTCCTTGCCACGGGCTGTAGTTCTCCGTGAACTGCTCCAGTGTGGGTCCCTTGCATGGGGTGCAGTGGCCTAGGAACAGGCTGCTCCAGTGTGGATCCTCCACTGGATCACAAGTCCTGCCAAAATACCTGTTCCAGTGTGGGCTCCTCTCCACAGGTCCTGGCAGGGTTCTCCGTGGGGTCCTATACTCATTTCATATCCACCTGCTCCTGCGTGGAGTCAATGGGCCATGAATGCAATATTCAGATCTTGTAACAATTCTTGTCATCATGTACACAAAAATGCTTGTTCTGGGCTCTCCTAGCAGTAGTTACTTAACGCTCCAACACCTTTTAGACAGAAAAAGATGTGTGAAGAAACTTAAGGGCTTTCCTTCCTGTCACAGTTTAGAACATGTCTGAGACAAGCAAGAAACAATAGCAATAAATGACTGAATACAAACATTGTGCTTCATGATCCCCATGAAAGGTTCAGGCCTAGCTGATAATAGATTGGTCATGTTACTGTATGACCTGACCACAGAAATATGTTGTTGTGCAGTGCTACAACTACCTCGTAGTTGTGCAGTGCTCTGCATTGCACTAGTCTCAGTAGTAAACCCCACAACAAGCAAACAAACGAATAAAAAACCCCAAAACAAAACAAAAAAACCCACCCCAACACTACATGCTTTCTGTGAAGAATGGTAATAAATTGGAAATCAGAAGAATAAGGTTGATAGTCTAGCAGCTGACAAACAGAGGGGCAAACCAACTCACCTCTACTTTCTGCTGTTTCAAACCTGCTCCCCTCCTGCCACGCCCAGCTTTGGGAATACTACCTTTTCCCACCTCCCCTCAGAAGCCAAGCATCTGCTCTGCCATGCTCTGGAGCAGTGCTAACCTGAAAGGAGAACCATTCCTGACTCTAACCAGAGATGGGAAGGAGAGGAACACTTTTCCTGCTAACAGCTATTCTTGGTGTGGGGCTATTCTTTTATGTCAGTCATTGTATCAGTTTCCCATCTTTGCTGAGATGACGTCTCCAAGTTCAGCTTCAGCACACAGCACAACACATCTCAAGTGCAAGAGCTGACCCACGTTTATCCTTAGTAGCTCAGTGTCCACAGGTCCTCTGAGAAAGCTCTCAGACTTCTATCTGTTGAGATGCAGCACTGTTGAGGCTTTGCCCTGAAAAACAATTGTCATCAGGCAAGTTGAGGCTTTCAGTGGGTGGTAGCGAGACACATCAGTGGCTTTTGGAAACTGTGTGGAGAAAGACTGAAAAGAAAACTTGAGCAGTCCGTATTACTGGGTTCCCTGCTATGAAGAAGCATGAAATCCAGGTGCTCACATGCAATATTCCCTGAAAACAGCTGAAATGATAACTCACAAGTTATTAATCTGTGAACTGGAGCCTTCCTTTGCTTTTAATAAAAGACAGTGGGAGAAATTAATTCTGTCTAAAACCACTGTATGTGCTGTGTGCCTAAAAGCAGGCATCTTATAACATCAGAAGTCCCATAGTTATGGCTATAAGCATGCTACTTGATTATTAAGCCTCTATGTCTGCTATTGTTTTTTCCTTACTATTTATTTTAAGTGAACACATTCATTTAAGTGAAAATGCCAAGTGACTAATGTGTAACTCTACGGAGAAATACAAAAATTGATCATTCTGTTAGAGGAATTAAACACTCTTTGTGCATAAATTCTAATGTTCGAGTGCAACTAAGAAATAAACATGACTTATTGCTGATAATGATGAGTGTTTCAGAGACTCTGAGCTTGTCAGAAAATCAGCTGTCTTCTAGGTATTAATGAGAAACAAAAAATATAAGGGTGCATTTATTAATAGACCATTCATAGAACCTGAAACTAAGCGGTTTGGAAAAGTACTACATTGTTTATAGTAATAAAGGCAAAGAAACACCAGAGGAAACATCCCTGGGGCTTAATCAATGATCAGCATATGAACATAAGTCAAAGATTGTTTAAAATTGTTCCAAATGAGGAATAACTGACGTCAAGAGCTTGCTTGACTTCTTACCTGCTTCACACCCTGGTTGCCTGCAGTGAGAAAAGTACGAATAGAACACTTACAGGCAGCCTTTCACAAACTGGTTTAGGCTTGGGGCTTTTTATTTGCATTTCACCTAATTTATTTACAGGAGAGCCTTAGGTATCCTTCAAGGGAAGAACTGTCATACACTGGCCAATCCATACATCGTTAACATCACCAAGTAATGAAGCCAGGAACAAGTAATCGTGTGCTGTTAACACGGAATTGCACTTGCACTCTGCAAGCCACAAATGACATTTGGTCAGGAACAGTGGGTTTTTTTGTGTTAGCAGTGTGACGCAGGTGCAAGGCCAAATTCGTTGTGTCCCCACGGCCAAAAATGTTCTGCAGGATTCCTTCTGCCTCCCAGTCTCTCAGAAAAGGAAATGTTGAGGCAGGGTGGGAGAGGGATTCTCAGAATATCGGAGCAAAGATGCACCATGTGTCCGTATAGGGGCTGTGTAGTTGCTGTTGACCTGACAAAAAGCTGCCTGGTGACCGCCCTAAATCCCATATTCCTGAGAATTGATGAGACAGTATTAATTTCTGGATGTGGTGTTGTACTCTCATCTTCTATGGACACATTAATTTCGACTCTAGGTCAGGAAACAGTTCAAATCACGACATTTCCTTGCTATTACTAATCATGTGACTAAGGTTCCCTGATATTCAAAAGTGTCTCTTCGCTGTTTTCCAGAGATCCTAAAAGCAAGTCTGAAGTTCATCTTCTAGAAAGTTTATGCACACTAGGGAAACAACTTGTCTTGAGGGAAAAATAAAAGTGACATTTCTATGACTGTTTAAAAGTATTGTTTATGCAAGACTTGCGTAGTTTTCCATTGAATCTATTAAATGGAAATGGAATGCATTTAGAAAAACTAATCTGAGAAAAGGAAGAGTGGATTGTATCACCTGTGAAAAGAGAGGAAGTGTTATTGGTTTTGTGCCAGCAGCTGGTCTATTTTCATGACTGATTTTTCCTGTTAGCAGTATGGAAGCCCAGGGCAGAGCAGGGAGCCCACAGCACTGCAGAGACAAAAAAAAAGAATGAACTGCAAAGGCAAAACAAATATTTCCTCATACTACATAGACAGATATTCTCCTTGCTGTCTGTTGTTCAGTGATTAAAAAGCCTTCCACCTCCACCAGAAGCTTGTTGCCTGTGACCTTAGAAGTTACCTCCCTGTGCTGTCCTTCAGTTTTCCACTTTTCAACTATTTCAATTTTCAGCCCACATATTCCTATCTGCTTCAGATAAAGCATTATTCCAATGGACAAGAGCCTTGTTCACTACACAGACATAATACATCCCCTGAAGTCTGCCCAGGCTTTGTCAGGAACATGCAAGGCAGAGTCATCTGAAAAATAGCTTGTGATTGTGTTTGGTTGTTCGGTCTTTTGCTCCTCTTAATGCAGTCACCTGTTACTTCAGTTGGATTCAAAACTGTTTCAGAAATGTTGAACATAAATAGATAGGCCTGCCTGGACTATTTTTTTCTAAAGGTATTGAACATATGGAAGAATAATTTGCTTCAAAACCAGGTTCTGCACAGTTTGAGTAACCTTTCCCTGTCTCTGTGTCACTGGTTTGAAATAGAGCACTCTTGGGAATAATGGGCCAGCACTTGGGCCTGTGGGGGCACTGAATGAGTAAACACCTGAAAAAAAAATGCACACAGGGTTTGCAGTTTACTTAATTTTGCTTTCATTATGTCAGCCTTTATCGTTGTGTATAGCAAGAACCACAGCTGAGAGCAGACTAAAACCAGCCCAAATACTGCCAGCTAGAAACTTCCAGCAAGTTATCAAATCAAAGTGCTGTCTTCCAGTGTTTCAACTGTAGATGTTCTGGTAGGTCTACCACTCACAGCCTTCTTTTTTCCTTGGAATGGAGTTGAGTCTCTTAGTTTCCAAAACGAGTTTTCCATCTCTCCCTCTGGTCTTCATTCTTTCCCTCATAGTAACTCTATTAGAGATAGAGAAGTGTCTAACTTCCATAGCACATGATCTGGGATCATAACAGGCCTGGCAAAATTTTCAGTATATTTTTGGGGCTTTTGGGGAGTTGAGTTGAGTTTGGGTGATTTGCTTGGGTTTTTTGCCTATTGTTGGTAGGATATATTGATTTAATATGTTAAATTGCAGTGGGCATTCCCAATTAGACATACCTGACCTTCGATAAAATTTGACTGTATCCTATTTTGTGCACAGGACTTATAAAACCCAAGCATGTTCAAGAGAAATAGAAATGTCTTCTTTATTTTACAGTGTGATAATCAAAAGTTCACAATGATCAGTAACCCCTTGGAGGTAGTGACATTAACAGTGTTTGCTCCCTCTAAACACTGAGGTTTCTGTGCCTTTCAGTCACCAGAGTTTGTCTTAAAATGTAATCAAAAACACTCTACAGAGAGGGAGGATGAACTGAGCTCTGTGAATGTTCTTTCTTCGTGAAACAAACCAGAATTCTTTTTTTATTTGTGCTGTATGAATGGGGATATGGGAATGACTGTCTTTTTTTTTTTTTCCCCATCAGAAGGGCATGTGGTTGTAAAATGGCCCTGAAACTTTATTTATAGAGAAATGTTGGTATCTGGAGCCTGTCTGTGAGAAAACTGGTGACAATGAGTCCTCACACTTCTCAGCAGAGATTAGATGGGATCACAATCATCCTGACATCTGCACCTCTTGCCTTCTCTAGGCAAGCAGAGCTGAGTCGTCTAAGAAGGCATTTGATTGTTTATGTGTCCATTGCCACAGGAGAATGTTTTCCATGTTTCATTCTTTACACCTACCTAATAAGATCACAAGATCCATATTTTTGTGATAACATAAACATTTACACAAACTTTTTTCTTTCATCCAGAGCACAGTGGGTAAAAGGGAGCATGTAACAGCTGGAGAGGTCTGTATGTGTGGGGTGATGGTATCAGAACATAGCCTATAACTGTAGACAAATATAGATAAATCATAAAGTACTGTTAGCATTAGGACTCAGTGTCACTGAAGAGCTGTGATACTTACTGTGTCTGTGAATCTGTCCATAGGCTGTTCTAATCATTGGTCAAAATTTGGAGCAAATAACTGAAATCATGACATTTGCTAGCTGAGTTGCCCACATGTTGCTTACTTGCCAATAGTGAAAAGTGCAAGCCTAACTGCTATTGACCAATGTATTTCTCTTGTTGGTTTAATGATAACATTACAAACTTCTCTGGTTGGGGGAGAGGTTCTGAATTCTCTGCCTGAACCTCAAGGGCACCCTGGAATCATACAAATGGAATTTTTCTGCAGACTTTGCCTACACATAGGTTAACTGGTTCTTGAAAATTTGTTCTATTTGCTAGCATAGGCTTCTTCCTAAAAAAATGCTTTTGAATGTAAGTTTAACACGAAGACTATTCCAGAATAATCCCTACATCATATGACATTTATCCCTAATGAACTTCTGCTTGATATGGTAATTACTACAGCAATAGATTAAATATTAGAGAATCACCAAATCACAGAATGTCTGGGGTTGGAAGGGACCTCTGGAGATCATCTAAGTCTGATCTCATTCTCTCGACACCTGCCCTTAAAATATTTGAATGCACAATAACATTTGTGATACTAAGAACAATACCTCATATTTAAATATTAATTTTTATAGTGTATCTTCATTTTTCCGTCTTACAAGTGGGGGATAAGGTTAAGAAAAATGCAAGGAAGTAGACTTTCATAGGGTATTTTTCTTAGTCTGGTATGAATTTGCAAAACTCTCAGAAATCTCCTCATGTGTTAATTTCTCTTATTAACGTTTCTAAATTAAGCCATATGGGTTTGCTTATGATTTTAGAACAATCTAATGTCAGAGGTGAGAACTGATCTCTTTCTTATACCCTGAGTTTCAGGTCTGTTTTTCCTTTAAATCTTCATTTAAATGATTTTTGTTATGCACTTTAAGAAAGAGAAATAGCATATAAGCAGGATCTTCAGAGTACTTAGAGAAGAGGGGGCTCACAGTGGTCACAGCTCCTGGAAGAGCTTCTATGGTGAGAGTATTTTTTCCCTGTTTCATCCTTTACACAGTACCCATCCACGACATCACTGCAAATACTCCAGCCTGTGTGCTAAATGAATTATTAAAGGTGAAATCTGCCCCCCCTGATATCAAACAAAATTCCCTCTGACTTTGGTGGACCAACAGGTATCAATCACCCCACGACTTGTAAACATGCAGATGCAGGTACCAGCACAGAAAAGAGAGTGAACCTGGATGTAGAGGTTTGTTTGCTTAGTAAAATATGCCTGAAACCAGGTACTGTCACTGTGACTAAAGGTATCTGTTTTCAACTTCTTAGCTTTCTTCTAACACATCAAAATCAAACACTGAATCTTATGATCTCTCTACTACTAAAAGTCTTTAAAAATTCCAAAATAAAAAGAAGCAGCTCTGTAGACATAGTTTATGATTTAACCAAATAGTACAGTGAGACAGTGAAAATTATTAGCAGTCTGTCTCACACTGTATCTTGCTTGGGTTAGGGAAGTTAACAGCAAAGATGGTGTAATCTTACAAGCTGACTAGGGAAAATTACAGAATCCCTTCTGAATAAACAGCATTAGAAATGCTTTTCCCCCCCCCCCATATACTTTTTGGTCCTTAGTAAAAAGATTTAAGTTAATCAAAACCTTGTAGATTAAATAATTAAACCTGTAGATAACCACAATTTTTTATTGTTAATTAGTCATAGAGAGGTGCCATTTTCATAGGATGCAGAGTCCCTAAATTTAGCTGTGGAATATTACATTGATCACACACAAAAAAACATCATTGATTCTCTGGGGAAGGGTTGGACGTCAGTGTGTGCGTTTTGGCTCAGACCACCTTTCACCTATTAAAGGGGGTTCCAGTAGATTTTTATCCCTGCTGCACATAGCAACAAAATGTGATTTGCCATCCTTAACCCTTTGAACATTCTCAGCATCTGAGCAGGATGATTCACACTTACTCAGTTACTTTGCTTTCATGCCCTGTATTGTATCTGAAATCTTTATACCCAAAGTGCTGTGTTTCTATCCTCTGCAGCTCTGTCAATTTTTTAATGTATGTTATGCATGTTTAAATATTTAATACACACTGAAGCCATTACAGCATGGCTGTAAAAAATCTGTAATATTGCACCTTTCTACTATGACAATTACTCCTTTCTTCAAATGACTCGTAACATTTATAAATAAAACTCTAAGATTAAACTCTGACATCATGCAAAATGCTGCATTTTGCTTCACCTGTTTAAGTTTACCAAAGACAGTGAATCAAATTAAAACACTGCGCAGAATAATTTTATTGCTGTGTAGATCTTTGCCATTATGCAGTATGATAATTCTCAGATTCTTTTTCCAGCAATCACTAATTAGGTGTAACAGGCATGCATCCAGACACTCCTGAATTTTAATCTTCATGTTTCTTAATGAGTTGATCAAATATTACACAGAATGTAGAAAAAATACGGGACTCATTTGAAATACAAATATACAATTTGTATAATTGTCCAGCTAATAAATTATGTCCAAATATTTTGATTTCTCCTGCAAACACTTAGGGATGTGTCCATGAAAGTGGTGGAAATAATCTGTACGTGTACATGTAATTATATATTCTATACACATAATTTTCCATAAGGATTTTCATAAGCATGCATGACACTGCATTTGCAGAATACTTTTGAATCTAGGCACAGGTTTTGCTTAAAAACAATAGAATCTATTCATATAAAAAAAAGGATATATAATTAAATTTGGCAGAAGGAAAATTTGTACAAAACAATATCCAATCCCCCTAACTGTCACCTGACTGTAGCACCAGCCTTTCCTCGTTTCGGGAAAGATGGAAGAGCTTCTTTCTTCCCCATCCTCTCTTTTTGCTGATGGGAAACTCCTGGCAGCTGAAGTGCCTGATATTTGACCTGCTTTAAAAGGTATTGCATGATTTTGCAGAGTCAAGGAGCTTCCAGTAGTTCAGATAAGCTTTCAGCAAAGAC